CAGTCTGGGTCTGCATGTTCGCTACCATTTACTTTTCGGGCTTCTGCGCTGAGGATCATAGAAGACTGGTAGCATGATTGCTGCAAAATACCAGACTCGTTCAACATTGTGAGATGTCAGCAATTATTCATCAAGTGCGACGATTGGGGAAGGGGGGACATATTGGATGCTGGCGCGAAAGGCAATGATGCTATGAAAGGCAGCACACTTAACGACGGAGATATTCGTGACTGGGTCGCAGGCGTGAAGATTGCTGTTACTGCGGCAAAAGCGGACTTTTGTTGGTTTGGAGCGTTGGAAGACATGGGCGGAAACCGCGACGCGAGTGAAGCGGGCAAAAGAAATGGCCGCGGTAAAGAGCCCATATGTTACATGTGTGGATGGTACTGGCACGTTGACAAGCTTGCGCCACTAGAGGAATTGCGAAAGGTAAAAGGGGGCGGGGGATGAGAGTACAAGTGTGTCAAGGGCTACCAAGGAGTGCAAGCAAAGGGATGCAACTAAGGGTATCGGGGCACCAAGTGTCACTCAGGGGTTTAGCTGAATGGGGGGCTACAGAGCGCCCCCCTTCTGGCGGGTTGCCAGGGGGGCCGAGCCCCAGGCTGAAAAAAAAGAAAGGGTAAGGGGGGATTTGCGCCGATCAGAGAGGGGGGAAGTCACGAGCGCGGCGGGGAGAAGAGCCCACTGCCCCAGCAACGGGGGGCGTGGGTGCAGAAATTCGCCGAACTACAGGGGGCGGAGACGGAGGGGCTTAGGAAGGAAGTCGATGCAGGGAGGTGGGATAGAGGCGATTGTTGCTGCAGTCAATTCTGGGGTCTACAACGCTGTTGGACCTCCAAGCGCGGGAATTCACTTACTGGTCAGACCCGCGGAGGCTTCCAGGCACGGCGAACGCTGCAGTGCTGCGAATGGGCCAGTTGCCAGGAACCGTGGGCAATGGGTGTTGTGGTATAAAGCGACAAGGGGTCCATGGTGAGCATGCCCGTCCAAATCGCCGGCGCGACGAGGGCATTCGGGTCTGCGCGCGAGATGGTTGAAGCAGGAGGTCGCCGAGTTCTAGACCCAGGCGCTGATGGGCGACCACGTAGTTAGTTCGAACGCAAGGCGTCGGGGCAGAAGACGGCGATGCACGAGCGTAACAGAAACTTCCAGATCGCCATCCGAGCCCCGAGAGGGAGCGCGAGTCAGAAGAGGGGAGGAAAGTAGATGAAGTTAGCGGTGACAAATGAAAAAAAAAGGTCTCTCAGGCAGGGTGCCCTCGTGGCGGATTTGCTTCGCTGAGTCCGACCGAGCCCGCGAGTCCCAGTTAAACATTGATCATCGTGAACATAGGGTGGTGAAGAAGATGAAGATGGGGGCGGTGAGTAAAGAAATGTTCAGGACGTGCTCGTGGGAGGCGAGGCTGATGCGCCCGAGAGGATCGCGCGCGATTTGGGGCCGCGCAAGAAGAATGAACATCAGAAGAAGAAGAAGAAGTCGAGTTGCGCGCTCGCCCACCACGCTGTAGGCGGCGCCCCCGCCGCGTGAGAGCGATGGCCGGGGGGAGAGCGCGCGAACGAAGACGACCAGTGATTTCGACTGACATCGTGCGATCAAGCAGTAACATTGGTGGCAGTGAAGAGGATGGAGCAGGAACTCCAATTGTGCTCATGCGTTGCTGGGGTGCCAAGTTAACGTGGGGCCGTGTTTCATTGGAAGAGGGAGTCGTCCTTTTCTCGATCAAGGTGGTCTGTCGCGTGGTCTTTTTCGCCAGTCACAAGAGTCGTCTTCAAAAATGATGGCGAGTCATTCCTTGCTGCGCTCGAGGAAGCGTTTAAAGTATCATGCGACATTGTTGGTGGTGGAGGTTCGCCCTGTCGGAGGTCCACGATCGAAGTCAGAGGGGCGATCCGAACCGTGGGGGCGAATCCGGGCGATGAAGAGTGCTTTGGATTTCAAGTGCAACGTAGCATTCGGAGAAGAGCGCGCGCTCGCACCTTGGCCGGCTGCGCGCGCGTCCCTTCTCATAGACAAGATTACAGTTGACGCCGACGGAAAGATTGCTCATGAGAGGTGCCGAGGGAACAAATTCAATTACGCTGACGAAGAAGGGGAGCAGTGACCCAGAGGCAAGACGGGGGAGTGGAATATTCTTGGACTTGCATGAAGCAAGTTAGGAGGTAAGCATCGGTACTCGGGGCGGTGCTATCAAAACCCATGAGTTTAGGCGTGGGATGGGGGGGGGGGGGGGGGGGGGGGGCGAGGGAGAGAGATGGAATCTAGAAGAGATTGCCAACGTGAGGCGTGTCCCTGAGCAACCAGATCCCAGCGCTCTTGGCGTGCGCGTTGCGGCCGGAGTGATCTTGCCCATGGTGGTGCTCAATCGCGACTGCAGTTGGCGCGGGCCCGTCGATGGCTCGTGGGACTGCCGTGCAGAAACCGGAGTGCATGGCTATGGAGCCTGCGCCGGGGTGTTATGGTTGCAAGGCAGTTGCCTGGGGGGCGCCACGCATGAACCGCA